CGAACTTTAGACTTTACTGGTCGGGATCAAGAAACCACGGGTTTCGCTTGGTGGGCGGGGGAATGCCCGACTTATAAATTTATCCGGTAAACTACTGGGGGGCCCATGTAGCCCATGCTGGATTAATAGTATTTTGGGCTGGAGCAATGAATTTATTTGAAGTAGCTCATTTCGGACCAGAGAAGCCTATGTATGAACAAGGATTAATTTTACTTCCACACCTAGCTACTCTAGGTTGGGGGGTAGGGCCCGGCGGGGAAGTTCTAGACACCTTTCCTTACTTTGTTTCTGGAGTACTTCATTTAATTTCATCTGCCATATTAGGCTTTGGCGGTATTTATCATGCACTTCTGGGACCTGAGACGCTTGAAGAATCTTTTCCTTTCTTTGGTTATGTATGGAAAGATCGAAATAAAATGACCACAATTTTAGGTATTCACTTAATCTTATTAGGTATAGGTGCTTTTTCTTTTAGTGTTAAAGGCGCTTTATTTTGGAGGTGTATATGATACCTGGGCCCCGGGAGGGGGAGATTTAAGAAAAATTACCAGCTTGACCCTGAGTCCAGGTATTATATTTGGTTATTTACTGAAATCTCCTTTTGGTGGGGACGGATGGATTGTTAGTGTAGACGATTTAGAAGATATAATTGGAGGGCATGTATGGTTAGGTTCAATTTGTATACTTGGTGGAATCTGGCATATCTTAACTAAGCCCTTTGCATGGGCCCGCCGCGCACTTGTCTGGTCTGGTGAAGCTTATTTATCTTATAGTTTAGGGGCTTTATCCGTATTTGGTTTCACCGCTTGTTGTTTTGTTTGGTTCAATAATACCGCTTATCCTAGTGAGTTTTACGGACCTACTGGACCAGAAGCTTCTCAAGCTCAAGCATTTACCTTTCTAGTTAGAGACCAGCGTCTTGGAGCGAACGTGGGATCCGCTCAAGGCCCTACTGGTTTAGGTAAGTATCTAATGCGTTCTCCCACGGGGAGAAGTCATTTTTGGAGGAGAAACTATGCGCTTTTGGGATTTGCGTGCTCCGTGGTTAGAGCCTCTAAGGGGACCAAACGGGTTAGATTTGAGTAGGTTGAAAAAAGACATACAACCTTGGCAGGAACGACGTTCCGCCGAATATATGACTCACGCCCCTTTAGGTTCTTTAAATTCCGTGGGGTGGCGTGGCTACCGAGATTAATGCAGTCAATTATGTCTCTCCTCGAAGTTGGTTAGCAACCTCACATTTTGTTCTAGGATTTTTCTTTTTCGTAGGTCATTTGTGGCACGCAGGAAGGGCTCGTGCAGCTGCAGCCGGATTTGAAAAAGGAATTGATCGTGATTTTGAACCTGTTCTTTCTATGACCCCTCTCAATTGAGATGAAACAAGGGATATAATGATTCAAGTAAGCATCTTTAAATAATCGGATAGAAGATTGAATATTCAATAGCAATCAAATGGGGTTCTTTTTCCTTGAAATTTAGATTCAATCTATTTTTTATGGCTTGCCTTGCCTAACGGAACTGGCTTGGTTATCCCAACTCGCCACGCCAGTCCCGTTTCCTTTGGATACCACACGATAAAGAACCTATTCTATTCAATAATAAACAAAGAAAAAGAAGGAGAGAGAGGGATTCGAACCCTCGATAGTTCTGTAAACTATACCGGTTTTCAAGACCGGGGCTATAAACCACTCAGCCATCTCTCCCAAAGATTCTTTTTTTGAGGATCTATAATAGAGTGGAGGATAAAAACTATGATTCTTGCTTTCCAATTGGCTGTTTTTGCATTAATTGCAACTTCATTCATCTTATTAATTAGTGTACCTGTTGTATTTGCTTCTCCATGAGGGCTGGTCAAGTAAAAAAAATGTTGTTTTCTCCGGGGCATCATTATGGATTGGATTAGTCTTTCTGGTGGGTATCCTGAATTCGCTTATCTCTTGATCCTTTTTGTCCCAAACTAAAAATACCTTCTTCATTTTTCTTGGTTGTGAGACACATTTTTTTTTTTCAATATTATTGAATTAATTAATATAATTAATAATTCATAAAAGTGTCTGCCCAAAAAATGAGAAGGGTTCAAATTTCGTATCATCCTAATGAGAATATTCGGTTCGACACTGAACAAATTAGGAATCAAGTAGAGCATTATATTCTATTTTATTATCTATTTATATATTCTATAAATAAATAAATAATAAAAGAAAAACCGTGGATATGGTTGAATGGTAAAATGTCTCTTTGCCAAGGAGAAGATGCGGGTTCGATTCCCGCTATCCGCACAATATCCAAACGAAAGACGAAATTAATCCATATCTTTCATATTAATATAAATAGCGGGGCCTAGTTTTATTCTATTGCTATTGATTTATTACTATTTATTATTTATTACTTTTTTTATCTGTTTTGTATTTAACAAAACAAAGAATTGAATAGGTCGTACTAGTAAAAGGTGTGTTATTGAAAATGAGGTAATAAAGGCAATCCAAAAATTGTTTGACAAAACACGATGTTGCGAAGACAGGATTTGAACCCGTGACCTCAAGGTTATGAGCCTTGCGAGCTACCAGACTGCTCTACTCCGCCCTGAAGCTTTAGCATAAAGACTAAAAATTGTTAAAACGAATATATAAATATAAATAGAAAAACACAGATTGACTGGACCCCTCCCTATACTTTATAAAAAGAATAACCTATTTATACAGAAAAGTAAAGGGGCCCCGACTACCATTTATCCTAGAAAGCAAGCGTTAATCCTTACCAACTCGATCTTGTTGCTCCTGGCAACAGACATGCTTGAACCATTTCACGAAGTATGTGTCCGGATAATCCAAAATCTCGATAGTTACCTCTCGGCCTTCCGGTCAAAAAACAACGTCGACGAAGGCGCGTCGGTGCACTATTCCGCGGTAGGGATTGTAATTTTTCATAAATTTTCCATTTGTCACTTAACAAAGGAACTTCGCGTATTTCTTTTTTTAAGGCTTGGCGAATCAAATAATATTTTCGTTCCAATTTTTGCCTTTTTTGATCTCTCTGAATCAAACTTTTTCGTGCCATAAATATTGAGTTCCTATTAGTATCGTATACAGAATATAAGTGTAATCCTAGATGTAGAAATAAAAACCCCCTACATCAAAAAAAAAAATGATATTTTCAAGGATAAAAACACAGGGAATTTAACCAAATTTACCCGATGTAGAGGCAATTAAGAACGCAGCATAAGTCAATATATAACCTACAGAAAAGTGGGCTAATCCGACTAATCTTGCTTGCACAATAGAAAGAGCCACCGGTTTATCTCTCCATCGAATCAAATTTGCCAAAGGTGTACGTTCGTGAGCCCATGCTAAAGTTTCAATTAATTCCTGCCAATAGCCTCGCCAAGAAATTAAGAACATAAATCCAGTAGCCCAAATAAGATGTCCAAATAAGAACATCCATGCCCAGACTGATAAACTATTCATACCAAAAGGATTATATCCGTTGATAAGTTGTGAAGAATTTAACCATAAATAATCTCTTAACCAGCCCATCAAATAAGTCGAAGATTCATTAAACTGTGAAACATTACCCTGCCATAAGGTTATGTGTTTCCAATGCCAATAAAAAGTAACCCAACCAAGAGTATTTAACATCCAAAAAACTGCCAAATAAAACGCATCCCATGCTGAAATATCACAAGTACCGCCTCGGCCTGGGCCATCGCACGGAAAACTATAACCAAAATCCTTTTTATCCGGCATTAACTTGGAACCACGTGCATCTAAAGCACCTTTAACTAAGATCAATGTAGTTGTATGTAAACCCAGAGCAATAGCATGATGAACTAAAAAGTCTCCGGGACCTATTGTTAAGAATAATGAATTACTGCTATCATTAACAGCATTTAACCAACCAGGCAACCAGATACTTTGCCCTGCATTAAATGCTGGACCACTTGTTGAAGACAAAAGTAGATCGAACCCGTAGGAAGTTTTACCGTGAGCCGATTGTATCCATTGAGCAAAGATAGGTTCAATTAAGATTTGCTTCTCCGGGGTACCAAAGGCAAGCATGACATCATTATGAACATAAAGTCCAAGGGTGTGAAATCCCAAGAATAAACTAACCCAACTTAAATGAGATATGATCGCTTCTTTATGATCTAACATTCGTGCCAATACATTCTCTTGATTTTGCTCGGGATTATAATCTCTAATTAAAAAAATAGCTCCATGAGCAAAAGCTCCTGTCATAAGGAATCCTGCGATATATTGGTGATGAGTATATAATGCAGCTTGCGTAGTAAAATCTTGTGCTATGAATGCATAAGCAGGTAAAGAGTACATATGTTGCGCTACTAAGGAAGTAATAACCCCTAATGAAGCTAAAGCAAGACCTAATTGAAAATGAAGCGAATTATTGATTGTGTCATAAAGCCCTTGATGCCCACGACCTAATCGTTCTCCCGGAGGATTATGTGCATCTAAAAGATCTTTGATACTATGCCCAATACTAAAATTCGTTCTATACATATGACCAGCAACGAGAAAAAGAAATGTAATTGCTAAATGATGGTGTGCCATATCAGTCAGCCATAAACTTTGCGTTTGGGGATGAAATCCTCCGAGAAACGTTAGAATGGCAGTTCCTGCTCCTTGGGAGGTACCAAATAAATGAATACTTGAATCGGGATTTTGAGCATAAATATTCCACTGACCTGTAAAAAGGGGACCTAATCCTTGAGGGTGCGGTAATACATCTAATAGATTATTCCATCGAACGTACTCCCCTCTGGACGCAGGAATCGCAACATGTACTAAATGCCCTGTCCAAGCCAAGGAACTTACGCCAAAGAGTCCTGCCAAATGGTGATTTAAGCGGGATTCAGCATTTTTTGAACCATGAAATACTTGGTTTCCACTTAGGTTGTAGGTGTAACCAACCTGCTACTAAGCAAATGGCAGAAATAAATAATAGAAAAATAGCTCCAGTATAAAGATCTTCATTAGTGCGTAACCCGATTGTATACCACCATTGATAAACACCAGAATAAGCGATATTCACCGGGCCAAGGGTACCCCCCTCTAGTAAAAGCTTCCACGGCCGGTTGACCAAAATGCGGATCCCAAATAGCATGAGCAATAGGTCGTACATGTAAAGGGTCCTGTATCCACGACTCAAAATTTCCTTGCCAAGCTACATGAAATAGATTCCCAGAAGTCCACAAAAAAATTATTGCCAATTGACCAAAGTGCGAAGCAAAAATATTCTGATAAAAGCGTTCCTCTGTAATATCATCATGACTCTCGAAGTCATGTGCAGTAGCAATACCAAACCAAATACGACGAGTAGTGGGGTCCTGAGCTAAGCCTTGGCTAAACCTTGGAAATCTTAATGCCATAGCGCCTTTCAAATCCTCCTAGCCATTATCCGACTGCAATAATTCGTGCTAAGAAAAATGCCCATGTTGTGGCAATTCCACCCAGAAGGTAATGGGTTACTCCTACAGCACGTCCTTGTACAATGCTCAAGGCTCTTGGCTGAGTAGCAGGAGCAACTTTTAATTTATTATGAGCCCAAATTATGGATTCTATAAGTTCTTGCCAATAACCACGTCCACTGAATAGAAACATTAAACTAAAAGCCCATACAAAATGAGCAGCCAAGAAAAAAAGGCCATATGCAGATAATGAAGAACCATACGACTGAATTACTTGGGAGGCCTGTGCCCATAAGAAATTGCGAAGCCACCCATTAATAGTAATAGAACTCTGGGAAAAGTTCCCTCCGGTTATATGAGTTATTACTCTTTGATCATTTATACTGCCCCAAACATCTGACTGCATTTTCCAACTGAAATGAAAAATGACTACGGAAATGCAATTGTACATCCAAAATAGGCCTAAGAAAACATGATCCCAGGCCGATACTTGACATGTACCCCCTCTTCCAGGTCCATCACAAGGAAAACGAAAACCAAGATTTGCTTTATCCGGTATCAAACGGGAACTGCGAGCAAATAGAACACCTTTCAAGAGTATAAAGACTGTCACATGAATCGTAAATGCATGAATATGATGGACCAAGAAATCCGCGGTTCCTAATGGAATAGGGACCAAAGCTACTTTACCACCCACTGTTACTATATCCCCCCAAGTAAAATTGGTGCTTGCTGCTGTACCTGGTGCTAAAGTATGGGTGTTTTGTATCCATTGAGCAAATACAGGTTGTAATTGTATAGCAGTATCTGAAAACATATCTTGAGGACGCCCTAACGCGCTCATTGTATCATTATGAATATACAAACCAAAACTGTGAAAGCCGAGAAATAGACATACCCAGTTCAGATGTGAGATTATAGCATCACGATGTCGAAGGACACGGTCCAAGAGATCGTTGTATCGATTAATTGGATCGTAGTCTCTTACCAATAAAAATGGAGGCATGAGCGGCAGCACCTACTATAAGAAATCCACCAATCCACATGTGATGTGTGAATAATGACAGTTGTGTACCGTAGTCAGTAGCGAGATATGGGTAAGGGGGCATGGAATACATATGGTGAGCTACAATAATAGTTAAAGAGCCTAGCATTGCTAGGTTAATAGATAATTGAGCATGCCATGATGTTGTTAGGATATCGTATAGACCTTTATGGCCCCTGACCTGTAAATGGACCCTTATGGGCGTATAAAATATCTTTGAGTCCATGACCAATGCCCCAGTTGGTACGATACATATGCCCCGCCATAAGGAAAATAATAGCAACAGCTAAATGATGGTGTGCAATATCGGTCAGCCATAGACCACCAGTTACAGGATCTAATCCTCCCCGAAACGTAAGAAAATCGGCATATTTTGACCAATTTAAGGTGAAAAACGGGGTTATTCCCTCGGCAAAACTGGGATAAAGTTGAGCCATAAGATTTTGATTAAGGATAAATTCATGAGGAAGTGGTATTTCTTTAGGATCGACTCCAGCATTTAGAAATTGGTTAATCGGTAAAGAAATATGTACTTGATGCCCCGCCCAAGCGAGAGAACCAAGTCCGAGTAGACCCGCCAAATGATGATTCAACATAGATTCTACATCTTGAAAACCAAGCCAATTTTGGAGCTACTTTATGATAATGAAACCAACCAGCAAAAAGCATTAACGTTGCAAAGACCAATGCACCAATTGCGGTACAATAGAGTTGTAATTCACTAGTGATTCCAGATGCTCTCCATAGCTGAAAAAAACCAGAGGTTATTCGAATTCCTCGAAAACCCCCTCCCACATCACCCATTCAATATTTCTTGACCTATTATTGGCCAAACTACTTGGGCGCTAGGCCCAATATGAGTTGGATCACTTAGCCACGCTTCATAATTGGAAAAACGAGCACCGTGAAAATACATACCACTAAGCCAAAGAAAGATTATAGAGAGTTGCCCAAAATGAGCACTAAATATTTTTCGCGATATCTCCTCCAAATCACTAGTATGGCTATCAAAATCGTGAGCATCAGCATGTAGGTTCCAGATCCAAGCGGTAGTATCAGGACCTTTAGCTAGTGTTCTTGAGAAATGGCCAGGTCTGGACCATTCCTCAAAAGATGTTTTTACAGGGTCCCTATCCACTAAAATTTTGGCTTCTGGTTCCGGCGAACGAATAATCATGGAGTCCTCCTATTTTCTTTACGGACAACATATACAAAGAGACCCGCCAATTTCACCTTTGGTTTATTTTTATCTAAAGCAATTATGATATAAAAGTTGCTACGGGACAAGTGGTCGGATTTATTATGACATATATATTAAGTGCTCAGCGGACCTTTTTACGTAAAATGGCTTTTTGAAACTCTTAGATCGATTTTTTACCTAGAAGATATGAATTGCGCTGTTACCCCTATTTGAACTGATGCGATGAATCATTAATACTTTTTTTCTTTTTATCATAAATATGATAAAAAGAAAAAAAGTATATTTTTTTACCCTATTTGTCTTCCAAAATACTAAAAATACTAAATGATATAGGACATTTAGTAAGGCATAGAATTAAAGAAAAGAATAAATTGTTCAAAGAAAGCGAGGCAAAGTAGAGTACATTTTTTTATTCGTATCGCCCCGTGATCTTCAACCAATTATGGGCTTCTATATAATTACCTGGAGTAAGCACTATGGCTTGTTTCCAATACTCCGCGGCTTGAGCGAACCAAACCTCCGCAATTTCAGAATCTCCCTCTTGAATAGCCTGTTCTCCCCGGTAATGACAGATAACGGCCATATTATTCAAAGCTTGTGGTAAGAATGGATTTCGTTCTAGTGCTCGAAAATAATATTCCAAAGCTTTTGTATGTTCACCATTACTTGTGTGGATAAGACCTATATTATACAATATATAACTTCGATCATAGGGATCCATTTCTAGTCGCATAGCTTCATAATAATTCTGTAAAGCTTCCGCATATTTTCCTTCGGATTGAGCCGACATACGTTACGGTCGTTAGTAATCAATTAAAAAAAAAAGAATCTCCGTTCCAAAACCGTACATGAGATTTTCACCTCATACGGCTCCTCTCCTCCCTTCTGTGCATAATGAGAATGCATTTAATCAAAAAAAAGAAAATCTAAGAAATATAAATATTCTGATTATCGACTGAGTAGAGCTAGTGCTAGTGTTTTATACAAGAAATCTCTAGCCAACCTTCCTGTAAGACCCCTTTTCCTATTATCAAACTAAATTTTTTTATATATGTAGAAATCATAAAAAAACTCCTAAATCATTTATTTGTTTTCAACGCCTGCTAATTTCCGGAAATTAGTCACTTCAACAGCCTTCGATAGTTATACAGGTATCCACATACGAACGAGATGGATGCTTGTGTTCGCAACCATTCTTTCACTCCAAAGCACAAAAAGAAGTGGTTGATTTAAAACAAAGTTTTCATTTTGTTGATTCCTAGATGTAGTGATTATTCCCCTATGTTCTTTATTAGCACTAATAAAATAGGATTTACCAGTCCAACCTATAGGTCTAACCTTCCGCTTAAGACTAAAATTGATAAATCAAATCTAGCATTTTAGGTTACATTAATCGAGGATTACACGACAGAAGGAATTGTTAAATTGAATAAAAACTTCACCTTCAATAAGCGGAGATTTTTTTCAATCACTTAATCAATAACTTAACGTGTCTGTATTTCTCATAAAACTTAGAAAAATTATTCAAGATGAAAGAAAAAAAGAACGAAATGATAAATCAATAATCAAATCACACCATCTCTGTAATAGGTAAATGCCGCTTTTTCTCCTGCTGTTGTCGGAATTAGTCGTAATAAGATATTCGCGACAATTGAAAAGGTTTTATCAATAAAATTTCCATTTATTCGAGATCTAGACATAGGTAGAAATCCATTTTTCATTTTATTCTGCTCGTGTGGGCCCACATAAACAGAATTTTAGAGTACAAATACGATAGTACAAAATAACATAAAATATATTGAAAAATAAAATCTAGAAAAATCTTTCTAGGATGAAAATAAACTCACTAACAAGATACAGAAGAAAACCTTGGTTTTCTAAATCTGAGTCTTTTTTTTTCAAAACAAATTTTGTTCAAAATTTGCTTTGACTTGATATATTGGTCATATAATCTAATAATCCTAAAAATTAAAAATAAGGAATATAAAATACTCGCTACTCACTCGTATTTTTAGACTTTTAGACATACTATTTATATAGGAAAGATGGCCGAGTGGTTTAAAGGCGTAGCATTGGAACTGCTATGTAGGCTTGTGTTTACCGAGGGTTCGAATCCCTCTCTTTCCGTACCTTAAGTCAATTTACCGAATTGACTATCACCAAAGGATTCAACCCTAGCAATGAATCTAGTGATCCCTTGGCTCTTTATCTCTGAGACAGAGCTTTAATAAAGTAGCATCAAACCCGGATTTATCTTAGTTCACTTTAAGTAAATTGAGTTTCCCGAAAAAAGTTGGAGTAACCTCTATTATGTTCGTTAGATTTAAGTCTGACGAGAATAATATTCTACGACTAGCAATTCATTTATCTTCAAACCGACCGATTTAGTATCTATTATGTTATTTACTAAGCCTTTATACGGCGCTGGGTGAATGGTTAAATGGTTTGGTAATTCCTCGTGATAATTTTGAAAAAGATCTCCTACTGATTTTTGGTTATTCTTCGGCGTAATAATATCTCGAGGTTTGCAGCGATAACTGGGTATATTGACTATACGATCATTCACTAAAATATGTCGATGGTTAACTAATTGACGAGCTGCAGGAATAGTAGAAGCCATACCCAATCTAAAAAGTATGTTATCCAAACGCATTTCAAGTAATTGGAGTAAAACTTCCCCTGTGGACCCCTTGGCTTTTCCGGCAATCCGAACGTAGTTAATTAACTGACGTTCTGTAAGACCATAATGAAAACGCAATTTTTGTTTTTCTTCTAGGCGAATACGATATTGAGATTTTTTCACGGAACGAGATTGGTTTCGAAGATCCCGTATATCGCTAGGCTTTTTATTAGTTAGCCCTGGTAAAGCCCCAAGACGGCGTATTTTTTTGAAACGAGGTCCCCGATAACGCGACATAAATACTCCTTTTTTTTATTATTGTTTAGTATTTCAATACATATGTATTGTTGCTGTGTACTCTGATATTCTATTATGATGCTTTATTTTTAATTTCTATAAGTCCCCTCCCTCGTCGCTCTAGAATTATCTGTGTCATTATCTCTATCACTATCTTCTCTCCTATTATCACTAGAATTAACTTTCTTAGTGTCACTATCAGTCTATTTCTAAGTATCGCTCTCTGTTCAACAATCCAAAAGTTATCCTCCCAATTGTTCATCGTAATATCTCCTTAAGATAAATCTTAATATAAATAAAGCCTTTTTTTTTATTATGTTTCTGATTTCAGATTTGAGCTATGCTTTTTTAACTTGAAAAGAACCACCTATTAAATATTTAATTTCATATTTAACCTATCTAGATCATATATCATATATTTTATATTCATATATAATATTTCATATGGATTTTAACGGAAATATTTAGAATAGATATATTTTAATATAAATTTAATATAAACATAAATTTAAATACTAATATGGATGATAAACGGAAACCCTATTTTCTATATAACGTTTGATATTGAAATGTTCAAATTGAATAAAAAGAAGAAATAGCAATATAAAACCTTAATAGAACCTTACGAAACTCTACCCATCTCTTTTTTTTATGTTATATATATGATATTTGATAGATAAAGAAATCGTATGCCAGGAACCAGATTTGAACTGGTGACACGAGGATTTTCAGTCCTCTGCTCTACCAGCTGAGCTATCCCGACCCATTCCCAAGATAGATACTCATTTGATTAGGTCGTGGGATATATATCTATATCTATATCAATTCTACATTCTACAATTCTATATCAATATCAATGCAATGAAAAGATAAAAAGCGGATTACAAACTTTTAGAAAAGTCCTAAAATTGAGTTTTATTTTCACTTCAAAACTCAAATATGTTACTTTTGAATTCAAGTATTCAAATCGCTCACAGGAATAAGACTTATTAGAACTTATAATAAAATAATAAAAGGACCTTTAGACTTTAGTTTTCACTTTAAACAACCACAAAAAACCACCACTAAAAAGACAAAGGGAGGGGATAAGGATAGGAATCTACTAGGTTTTTGGGGATAGAGGGACTTGAACCCTCACGATTTTTAAAGTCGACGGATTTTCCTCTTACTAAAACTTTCATTTTTGTATGTATTTACATGTAGAAAAGGACTCTCTCTTTATTCTTGTCCCATTCAGAAGTTTGGTTCGTAAAATCGAAATTTCAGAATCTATTATGGAATTAATGATTCAATAAATTCAATGAATATTAAAGTAGTTAGTTTAGTCAAATCCCTTTGTTAGAATAGCTTCCGTTGAGTCTCTGCACCTATCCTTTAAGTTTTTTCAAAAGGATTTGGATCAGGATTGCCCCTTTTATTAATTCCAGGGTTCCCCTGAATTTGAAAGTCATCACTTAGTAAGTTTCTATACCAAGGCCCAATCTAATTAAGTCCGTAGCGTCTACCAATTTCGCCATATCCCCTTTTTTTATGTTGATCCCCCGTATGGGGAGGCATCTCGTGTACTCATTTATTTCATTTAGCTTCAAACATTCCATTCATTAGCATTCATCAGAGAGTTTTTTCTCTTCTTTTATTTTTTAGCTAGCTAAAAAATAAAGTACATTCAAAGATTCAAATAAATTTCTTTTTTGTTTACTCATTCTAAATAAGAATGAAATCTTCCCACGTTTTTTTCTTTTTTTTTTATTGAATTATCGTGTATATTCAAGTTCGGCCTGCTTAGCTCAGGGGTTAGAGCATCGCATTTGTAATGCGATGGTCATCGGTTCGATTCCGATAGCTGGCTTTTCCATATGGAAAATCGCTTTTTGAAATCATAGTAGCAATTGACTCACATCGGAACTTACAACTATCTTAATCAAAATTTTGCTTCCTTTCTAAAAAAATAAAAAAAAAAATTCTTTTCAAAATTTATTTCCTTTAGTAGTTACGATTTTGTGATGTAAATAATTTATTGTCAAGATTAATTCACATTATTATGATTATTATATTAATGAATGATTAATGATTAGTGATTATACTTATTATCTATTTATATTATCTATGTATATTATATGAAAAATATAAAAATATCCAAACCAAAATATTTGAAAAGTTTGAGTGACATTCCTTATTCGGAATAGAATATTTATAATACATTGAATTTCTATTGATGGGCGGGATTTTATTGTATTTTCTGAAGCATATAAAAATATCTACTTAACTCAGCGGTTTAGAGTACTGCTTTCATACGGCGGGAGTCATTGGTTCAAATCCAATAGTAGGTAGAACAACTTATTAGATACCATCCACTGAGATATCTAATAAGTTTGTGACCTATCCTTTTGAATATAGATTCATGTATTTTTAAAAGAGCGGCTTTTTAGGAAATATTATGGATCGCCTTTATCCGTGTTTGAGCTCGGCGTAGAGCTAGATTTGCCTCAATTTTTTGTCTCTTTCCTCCAGCTTTTTTTAAAATATCTTTTGCTATTTTAAGAGTTTGCTGAGCTTCTTGGGGATCAATCTCACTACCTTTTTCAGCATCATTTACCAAAACAGTGATTTCATTATTCGCTATTCGAGCAAACCCCCCCATCAGTGCCGTCGTTAACCATTGGCCGTTAAGGCGTATTTTCAAAATACCTATATCTACAGCTGTGGCAATAGGTGTGTGATTGGGTAATATTCCAATTTGCCCACTATTAGTGGATAAAATGATTTCTTCCACATCTGAATCCCAAACAATTCTATTAGGGGTCAGTACACAAAGTTTTAAAGTCATTTATTCAAATCCTTCCCTATTTTTAAATTTCTACTTTTTTAAGTGAATTGCCTTCGCGGTAACTTCATTGATATTCCCTACCAAATAAAAAAGCCTGTTCAGGAAGACCATCTAATTCGCCAGCAAGGATTAAAAGAAATCCTCTAATTGTTTCAGCGAGACCTACATATTTACCTGGAGAACCGGTAAATATTTCTGCTACGAAAAAAGGTTGTGATAAGAAACGCTCAATTTTTCGCGCTCTTGCCACGTTTAAACGATCTTCTTCGGATAATTCGTCGAGCCCAAGAATAGCTATAATGTCCTGAAGTTCTTTATAACGTTGTAAAGTTTGCTTGACTCGTTGCGCAGTTTCATAATGTTCCTCACCAACGATCCGAGGTTGCAGCATCATTGACGTTGAATCTAAAGGATCAACTGCTGGATAGATACCTTTAGCAGCTAAACCTCTTGAGAGTACGGTAGTTGCATCTAAATGTGCAAATGTCGTAGCAGGGGCAGGATCAGTCAAATCATCTGCAGGTACATAAACTGCTTGTATCGAGGTTATGGAACCACTCTTTGGTGGAAGTAATTCTTTCTTGCAAAGAACCCATTTCTGTACTCAAGGTCGGTTGATAACCTACAGCAGAAGGCATTCTACCCAGTAAGGCGGATACTTCTGATCCCGCTTGAACGAAACGAAATATATTATCAATAAATAGAAGTACATCTTGCCCATTAACATCTCGGAAATATTCCGCCATAGTTAGGGCAGTCAAACCAACTCTCATACGAGCTCCTGGTGGTTCATTCATCTGACCGTAAACTAGGGCCACTTTTGATTCTGCAATATTTTGGTCATTAATTACTCCGGATTCTTTCATTTCCACATAAAGATCATTTCCTTCGCGAGTACGTTCACCCACTCCGCCAAATACGGATACTCCTCCGTGCGCTTTGGCAATATTGTTAATTAATTCCATAATGAGTACTGTTTTCCCCACTCCAGCTCCCCCGAATAGTCCGATTTTTCCTCCACAGCGATAGGGGGCTAAAAGATCTACTACTTTAATTCCTGTTTCAAAAATCGATAATTTTGTATCTAACTGTATAAAGGCGGGCGCAGATCTATGAATAGGAGATTTTTTATTAGTATCGACAGGCCCTAAATTATCAACAGGTTCTCCGAGCACGTTGAAAATTCGTCCCAGAGTTGATCCACCGACCGGGACACTTATAGGAGCTCCCGTATCAATCACTTCCATCCCTCTCATTAGACCATCTGTATCACTCATAGCTACAGCTCGAACTCGATTATTTCCCAATAATTGCTGAACCTCACAAGTCACGTTCATTTGTTTACTGGCTTGCCCTTGAACTACTAGAGCATTATAAATATAAGGCATCTTGCCAGGGCGAAAAGCTACATCTAGTACCGGACCAATTATTTGGACGATATGTCCTATATTTTTTTTTTCAATTGAGGAAACCTCAGAACCATAAGTCGTAGGAGTGCTTCCCATAAAAAAAAAAATTTACAAAACTTTTCAAATTACAAATAACTGTCCGCAAGCGCAAGATTAATTCAATAAATGTAATAAGAAAAAAGGGGGGATTCTCGCTGTCTTTTTTTATATTATCCAGATATTATCCAGTATCCAATCAATTTAATTTTTGTCGAATGAAGGAACTAAAATAGGTAAATCATTTTAAAGTGGAGGAATAAAAATATTGGGAAAGTATTTCATTAGAATTTTTTATTTCTATCCCATTAGTTTTTTTAATTTTTTTATTAAGTTAGAGAGGTAGTGTAAAAAAAGTGAAATTGAAAAACTGGGTTGCACTAGATATACAAAAGAGTATACAATATTGATGCATTTGAAAAATGACTCAAATGCTTTTAGTTTAAAAATAAAAAATTAGGATTTAGTTGATAATAGATAATATTGAGTACTCGGGGGGAATTTTGTGAACGATTCCGACCAAAAGCAAAATTCACGCATAATTTAGGTCGAGTAGATCGTTTTGTTGTCAGAATTATGAATTTATGAGTTATAAGGAGGAATATATGTCACCACAAACAGAGACTAAAGCACGTGTTGGATTCAAAGCCGGTGTGAAAGATTACAAATTGACTTATTATACTCCTCATTACGAAACCAAAGATACTGATATCTTGGCAGCATTTCGAGTCACTCCTCAGCCCGGAGTTCCCCCTGAAGAAGCGGGGGCCGCGGTAGCTGCGGAATCTTCTACTGGAACATGGACAACCGTGTGGACCGATGGACTTACCAGCCTTGATCGGTACAAGGGCCGATGCTATCGCATTGAGCGTGTTATTGGAGAAAAAGATCAATATATTGCTTATGTAGCTTACCCTTTAGACCTTTTTGAAGAAGGTTCTGTTACGAATATGTTTACTTCGATTGTAGGTAATGTATTTGGGTTTAAAGCACTCCGCGCTTTACGTCTCGAAGATCTTAGAATACCTCCAGCTTATACTAAAACTTTTCAAGGTCCGCCTCACGGCATCCAAGTTGAGAGAGATAAATTGAACAAGTATGGGCGTCCTCTGCTGGGATGTACTATTAAACCCAAATTGGGGTTATCCGCTAAAAACTACGGTCGAGCGGTTTATGAATGTCTTCGTGGTGGACTTGATTTTACCAAAGATGATGAGAATGTAAACTCACAACCCTTTATGCGTTGGAGAGACCGTTTTTTATTTTGTGCCGAAGCAATTTATAAATCACAGGCTGAAACAGGTGAAATAAAAGGACATTACTTGAATGTTACTGCAGGTACATGCGAAGAAATGCTAAAAAGAGCTTTCTTTGCTAAAGAATTGGGAGTTCCTATTATAATGCATGACTACTTAACAGGGGGATTCACTGCAAATACTTCTTTGGCTCATTATTGCCGTGATAATGGTCTCCTTCTTCACATCCACCGTGCAATGCATGCAGTTATTGATAGACAAAAAACTCATGGTATACACTTCCGCGTACTAGCGAAAGCGTTACGGCTATCCGGTGGAGATCATATTCACGCGGGTACTGTAGTAGGTAAACTAGAAGGGGAAAGAGAGATGACTTTGGGCTTTGTTGACTTATTACGCGATGATTTTGTTGAACAAGACCGAAGTCGTGGTATTTATTTCACTCAAGATTGGGTTTCTTTACCCGGTGTTATGCCTGTGGCTTCTGGGGGTATTCACGTTTGGCATATGCCTGCTCTAACTGAGATATTTGGGGATGATTCCGTACTACAGTTTGGGGGAGGAACTTTAGGTCACCCTTGGGGTAATGCGCCTGGTGCCGTAGCGAATCGAGTCGCTCTAGAAGCATGTGTACAAGCTCGTAACGAAGGGCATGATCTTGCTCAGGAAGGTAATGAAATTCTTCGACAGGCTAGTAAATGGAGCCCTGAACTAGCTGCTGCTTGTGAGGTATGGAAGGAGATTCAATTTGACTTTAAACCAGTGGATACCTTGGATCCAAATGAGAAGAAAGAAAGAGATAATAAGGAGGCTCTTGCAGGAGATAAATAGAGATAACTTATAACTTAATTCGGAGATAAGGGATGGGTAGAGGGAATTTAAGCAATCACTAACCCCCTTCTCTTCTGAATTGCAATTCAATTTGGCCCAATCTTTTACTAAAATCATTCAAATACTAAAAAAAGTAAACAGATTGAGCCGTCGGATATCTATCCATATTAATGAGCTTATTATTTAGATTTGGTTTGGGTATAGGTAGACGAGAACAAATAGTTAAACTTGGTAATTGAGGTAGAGTTATATAAAACGACTATTCCATCTATTGCTATTGTGTATTTTCTATTGTATTTTCATGCAAAAAACAAGGGGCAATAATTATGGAAATGTGGGGGGATAATTCATTGGATAAGAAATTTGAACGTGGATCGGACCTAACTAAATCAATGGATGGTGTTAACCGTCCTATTGAAGAAAATAGCAGGCAAAATGAAGATACGAAGAAGCAAGAGATGTTTGAAAACATTCAGACTTGGGAGGATCGTGACAATTCCAGTTGCAGTAATGTTGATTCTGTCTTCGAGTTAAACTATAGTGAAAGTGTCATCTTTGATGACACTTTTCTAGTTAGCGATAGTACTGGAAATAATTATTGCATCTATTTTAATATTTTTAATATTGAAAATTATATTTTTGAAACAAATAATGCTCACTCTTTCTTTAGTGAACCTTTTTATCTTTATTCGAATTCAAGCAATCCCACTCAAATGAATGAAGTGAGTAACGAATATAACTCTCAGATTGATATTGCTGAGTCCATTTATAATTCTATGAAGTTACAAATAGATCCAACTACTATCACTAATAATGAAAATGAGAGTGTTACTGACAGTTCCAGTAATGAGTCCATTGTTTATGGTGAAAGCTGCAATAGGAGCGAAGTCGAGAGTTCGAGTAGACAAATTAACGTAGAGGAAATTGGGATAAAATATCCTGAATTTAACCATTTGTGGATTCTATGTGATAATTGTTATCAAATATATTATAAAAAATTCATTAAATCAAAACATTATATTTGTGAAGAATGTGGAGATTATTTGCAACTGAGTAGTTCAGATAGAATTGATTTTTTGATCGATGAGAAAACGTGGGTTCCTATCGATGAAGAAATTCTTTCTGGGGATCCGATTCAATTTGATATTCCATTTGATGAAGACTCTTCTAAACAAATGATTTCTGAGTGCCTCCTTCAATGTGGAATTATATTGGACAAAATAAAAGAAGACTCTTCTAAAGAAATGATTTCTGAGTGCCTCATTCAATGTGGAATTCTATTGAAAGAAGACTCTTCTAAAGAAAGGATTTCTGAGGACCCGATTCCGTTTGATATTCCATTGAAAGAAGTGAAAGAAGACTCTTCTGAAGAAATTCTTTCTGAGAACCCGATTCCATTTAATATTCCATGGAAAGAAAACTCTTATGAAGAGAATCTTGATTTTTATCAAATAAAAACAGGCTTAACCGAAGCTGTTCAAACAGGTCTAGGGCAAATCAACGGTATTACTGTAGCAATAGGTGTTATGGATTTTAAGTTTATGGGGGGTAGTATGGGATCCGTAGTCGGAGAGAAAATAACCCGTTTAATTGAGTACGCTACAAAAAACTTTTTACCTCTGATTATAGTGTCGGCTTCCGGAGGTGCGCGAATGCAAGAAGGAAGTTTAAGTTTGATGCAAATGGCTAAAATATCATCTGCTTTATATAATTATCAATCAAATAAAAGATTATTTTATATATCAATCCTTACATCTCCTACAACTGGTGGAATAACAGCGAGTTTCGGTATGTTAGGGGATATTATCATTGTCGAACCTAATGCTTACATTGCATTTGCAGGCAAAAGAGTAATTGAAGAAACATTAAAACAAACCATACCTGATGAGGCACAAGAAGCTGAATTTTTATTTGAGAAGGGTTCATTTGACTTAATTGTACCACGTCATCTTCTAAAAAGCGTTATTAGTGAGTTATTTACGTTTCATGACCGGGGCACTTTCTTTCACTCAGAGTTCAAATGAATTTGAACTTTATTTTATATTGATTTTAGATTGATAAAAATAGTTAGAGAAAAACTCACAGATACAATATAGTAGAGTAAAAAAAGATAACTTTTATATGAGTGACTTTCCCTC